AAGGAGCATTTCAACCCTAAAATCGACCACGCATCTTTCAAATGCAGTACAATTGTCTAATCTTGTTCAAGACTTTCATTTAGTGCTTGGTACTCTACATATATAGACTTTATTTCAATAATAAGATTACGTACAGTTTATTTACTCTCTTTCTCGTAATAAATTGAGGTCGGTAAAAATAATACTTGGTTTTTTTTTTTTTTTTGAATATATGAAGGATTAAAGAGCTCCATTTTGAAGGGTGACACAAGATTCAATGGGGTGACCGAAGTCTAGTTTGAATGGGCAGACCCAAGCTTTTACATCTGCCACACCAGCACGTGCCCCCTTGTGCATTACTCGACATGTTGTCACGTGCTGTCACGAGAGCTTCATTTACAATTACTGGTCAAAGTCATCCCATTTGACCACTCCGAAAAAAAAAACAACGACCAAAATTCAAACATTTCAACTTATTTATTTCTTTTTCCTAAAATAAACAGACAATGGGCTGGGCCTGGTCAACAAAGGCCCAGGCCCATTCACATACTTCAAATTTTGTATATCCTCAGCCACTAGTTTGTACGGAGAGATTTTTTTTGTTTATGAACACTTAAGTTGAAGAATATATATCTACTCTGCTATACTCAACTCAGTCTAACAATGTGTAGAAATAAATTATTAGGAAATAATATGACCGTAGTTTTATATGACTATTCGAGCAAATTTTTTAGTCAAAAACTAAAATAATGTAATTAATTTTCTCTCTTTGACGGCAAACAAATGAAAAATTTAAGAACTAATCAAAGCATAGATTAACCGGTTAAGATACTATCCAACAATAAGATTGAGAGTTTGAATCTCCACTCCTACGTGTTGTATTAAAAAAATGACAAATTTTAATTATGAATGAATTGATCAATCAATTTTAATATTCACCAACAAAAATGGTATTGTTGGAAAATATTAAAACAGGAGAGACTAAAACTGAAGCTTATTGAACAATAGAAATTAGAATTTTTTTTAAGTACAACAAGTACGAGTGGATATATTCAAACTCATGATCTTTTAGTCAGACATACGTCGAATTATCGGGCAACCATAGAAATTAGATTGAAAAAGTAATTTAAAAAAATACATTTAATAACAATTACACGTTTTCAGTAGACCCCTTTTATATGTCTAAGTCTAACTCCGTACAAAAGTTTGAAAACTTATAATAATTACACAATGGATCAAACGGCAATTTTCCCTTATAAATTAACATTAAAAACGTGTTCGTCAAATTAAAAAAAATAAATGATATAATGATATAATAAACAAATTTATATCATTTAGAGTTAGTTGATACCGAATTTATTTTCAATTTTTTAAAACTATGCTCGCTTCTTTATAATTTCACAAGTTTTTAGTATGTTTTTTCACCCTTGAAAGCACATTCGAATCAAATTTCAAAATATAGAAGCAAAAAAATTCTTTAATATAGTTTAAATTTTTTTACTTAGATTTTAAAAATAAATAACAAAATAAAGAAAACACATCAATGCGAAAGTAGTGTTTATAAGCATAATTATCCAAAAAATAAAGTAATTATCTAACCGATCTAAACATCTCATCTAAAGAACAAATTTCAGTTACCTAAATAAATTTAGGTAGGTCTCGTTTAATAACAATTTTATTTTTTATTTTCAACTTTAAAAAATTAAGCTTCTAAATTCTACTTTTCCCTATATATTTCTTGGTTTTGTATCTATTTTTTAATAATATTTTTAAAATCTAAGACAAATTTTAAAAACTAAAAAAATGGTTTTTAAAAATTTTGTTTTTGTTTTTGAAATTTGGTTAAAACATCGAATTTGATTTTAATAAAGTTGAAAACATACGAAAGGAATTATGAGCCATCCACCATAATTTTTAAGAATAGAAAACTAAAAACAAAATAGTTATTGACCCTAATTTATAAAAATAAGATTTATTGAGTAGAGTTATTATTAATTTTACTTAATTAGGTTCATTCACTTAGTCGAGAAAAAAAAAGTAAAGAAGTAAGTAAAAGGATAATAGAGGACAAAACGAGTACAAATAGCATATATTTCTAATCAAAAGAGGGTGAATTCGAAGAATTGAGTCGTGGGAAGTGCCCGCTCAAAACTCTCATTTATTGAACATTAGATTTTGTCCCATTTATTGAACATTAGATTTGGGTCCACTATTATTGTCAATTCATATGCCTCACAATCATCACTACAACTATATTTCTCAATCTCATTTTGCCTTTTTCAATCCAAACAACCTTTCTCTCTTTTGTTTTTCTGCTTAATATTAGTTCCTATAATTTAACATTTCTATTTAATCTTTTATATTTTAATATTTCTAATAATACTTTTGTCGTAATAGAGATTAAAATTAGTTAATAATAAATATTGTTTAAACAATCACGAATCTAGATGAGAGTTGACCATCAAGCCAATTTGTATATGAACTAATTAACTCTTAAATTAATATCTAAATTCGCATGTATCTTTTTCCACTTACTTTAGGTATATGTATGCCATTATATGGTTGTTGGTGTTGTAAACCACGACTCCTCTCTTAGGAAATCAAGCAAATGGAGAGTTAAGCGGTTTTCAACTATTCCCCAAATTGACTTTTGTTTGCTTCGGAGGAACAGTGTTCTCCTCCGAACTTTTGTTTTATCATAAAAAACTTTCGAGTTGGATTAGGTATGCACACATGCTGCCTCCATGTGCCACGTGGAACAACATTTTTCGTCTTATAACAAATTTGCTTGGTATAAAATTTTTTTGAAGTTCGTAAAAATTTCAATTTTTATTCTTTTCTATAGCATAATTCCTCCCAATTAAATAATGTCACGGGAGCTTATTTATCATATATATTTTATTTAAGAATATACCATTACAAACATTAAACATGGAATAGAGTGAGAGATTTAAATATCCGCCTTATAAACGAGGTTATTAATATTTATCCAACTTTTTCCTCTCTTAATTCTTAATTTATAATGTCTCATCACTTCATTTTTCAAAATAGTTGTAACCTACAAATATATACATAATTTGATAACTATTATACAAAATATTTCCCGAAACAATTGATGAATAGTTATAGTTAAGTTAGAACTAAAAGATTAAGACACTTATATCTGATTTGAGAGTCGTGAATTCAAATCTCATTTTCTTACCTAATGTACTAAAATAAGGAGAGAAAACTTAAAAAGGAAAAAGAAAATCCTATTTTGATTTATGTGGTTTTGAATACCATTTTCTAAAACTTATCTCGTCAAATAATTGCAAAGAAATATATTTTTAGACCTTTTAAATGTATAATTCTTATGATAAAACAATTACAAATAACACAAAGAAAATCCATAAGCCTATTTCACCAAAGTTAACGCAACATATACAACTACATAATGCAAAAAGTTTTTGGTTACCTTTTAAAGAAAGATAAAAAGAGAAAAAAAAGAAAAAGAAAAAGAAAAACTTTGGCCAAACGCTCTCTTAAATTAAAAATTTAGGTCATTTGATAATTATTTTATTTTTTGGTTTTAATTTTAAAAATAAGTCCTAAAACGTTGCTCTCACATATGCATTTCTTTTCTTTTTCTTTTTTTCACTTAATTTTTAATAACATTTTGACAAAATTCAAACCAAATTTTGAAAATATGAAAAATAATTTCTAAAAATTGATTTTTGTTTTCGAGATTTGGCTAAGAATTCTGTTTTTATATAATCTGACAAACATAGAAAAAAAAATAGTGAAAAATCTTCAAAATGTTATCAAACAGGATCTTAGTTATTGAAATTTTCAAGATGGTATGGGTTTAATCTCTATACTAATTTTCTAATAGGTCTTTTCACTTTCAAGAATATGTCTGTTTGGTTCTACTAAAGTTTTAATACTGAGTCTACTAGATTATTTATCGTTAATTTTGTCAATTAAATGCTTAAACCAGCTTAGCAAAAATCAGCTCATCACAATATCATTAAATAATATAATCAACAATGTCAAAGTGTTGAGCTGACAAAGTAAAATAATGTCCAATTAACACAAAATTCTAATTTCAGAAACTTTTTAAAGAATTTTAAGTGACAGAACTGAGGCATAAAAGCTAAACCATTCCATGAAACTGTTAAAAGTATATACAATCAAATTTATAAATTAACATTAGAAAAAAAAAAAATCTACTTTCTTAATAAGCTTTTAAAAGATCTCAAATTGTGCAACCTAGATGATTTTTCTCAATTTTCTCCAAGAAAAAAAGGGTATTGAAACAGAGGAATTAAGAAATAATAATGAACAAAAGGACAGACAGAGATAGGTCAACAATAATGATCTGGAATTTGTCCAAACATNAAAATCAAATTATACACATTATTTCACTGTTAATAAACAAAGCCATAATTTTCATTTCAAAAAACACAAACAAACAAACAAAACCGAATCTCACTCCCAATTAAAAATTGAAAAAAGAAAAGAAAAACCCCCTTCAGTTAACCTAATTAAGATGCCCAGTTTCTCTGGTCCACAATTTTTATATAGTTTTCGAAAAAAGAATCAAAACTTCCATTGAAGACTCCAAGAATCTAACTGAAAAAATAAGAAAAAAAGAAGTAAAAAAGTAGAAGAAGCAGCAAATCGTTTGGCCTTCTAACCATTACCAAATTATAAAATTCGAAAAAGAAAAAAAAAACCCCAACTGAAATTAAAGTTGAAAAAGATGTTTTTTTTTTGTTTTCTTTTTTCCCTATTCAAGCTTCTTTCTCAAAGCCATCATCTTGACCAATCCAGATACATTGGAGACAGACCATGATTTTTTTTCTTTTTTCTTTTTTTCTCTTTGCAGAAGCTTCTAAGTATACAAAAAACTCACGTGGCTGCAGCAAAAGATTTTTCTGATTATTAAAAATAAAATAAAAAAAACTTACATTAGATTTGGTTTTGGCTGCAAGTATATAAAAAGGAGGATTTGGTTCCACTTGGAAACTGGACCATGCAAAATGGACGAGGAGCCGAGATCCGACGGCAATAATGAGGGTGGCGGCGAGGTCCGGTACCGCGGCGTTCGGCGGCGCCCCTGGGGAAAGTTTGCAGCGGAGATTCGTGACTCGTCGAGGCACGGGGCTCGGGTTTGGCTCGGAACTTTCAATACGGCGGAGGAAGCGGCGCGAGCCTACGACCGAGCTGCCTACACCATGCGTGGCCATTTGGCCGTCCTGAATTTCCCTAATGAGTACCCTTCCCACGGCGGGGGAAGCTCCTCTTCTGCTCCGGCGCCTAGGCGCCAGAATCAGGTGATTGAATTTGAGTGTCTGGACAATAAGGTGCTGGAGGAGCTTCTTGAGTACGAAGAGAAAAGGAAGAAGTAAAATTCTTAACTTTCTTTTGGGTAAATGAAATGAAATGCAAACTACTTGGGGGATTGTCTAATGTTTATATATTATCAATAATTTTGTTGTAATTTCCCCCAATATGTTCTATCCTATGGAAGTTTTAACCTTTTGACTAATTTTGTTTTTCCTAATTATGAAAATGTTATTTCAATTTTAAAAAATTATGGACAATGGATTGTAAGGGTGGAAGTTAAATTCTAGTTAATATTCAATAAACATGGTGATGAAGAACTTTGGCCATTCATTGATATGACTACTACTGATCTTATGGCTTGGGAATTTAAGTTCAAAATGAAAATCCAAATACTTAAGTTGAATGTGGCAAAATTTTTGTGTTATTGTTGAAGTCCCGTTGAGATTCAATAAAATAGTGATGGGAGTGTATCATTCATCAATAGTACCTTTTCCTTTTAAAATTATAAAATATGGAGATCTAAATCCAAAGTTGTTACGGTACAATTAGAAAGAAGAAGATCGATAAATAGTCATTCGTTGTGCAACATACATTGATTTTTTTAGTTCAATATATAACATGTGGAGTAAGGATTGGAATCAATAATTGGTTAGTAGCAGAATCAGAAGAGTGTGGTTGCTTTTATTTTTCTTCTCAATAAAGATCTTTTATATTGGGATGTGATTTTAATTTTACTTTCTCTTCTTAACAAAATAAAATTAAAACAAATTTGATCAAAATTGTCTTTACAATAATAGTATATGTATATATTTTTTTTTTCAAACGTAGCCTATGATGTATATTTGAAACTTATATGATGACAATCTTCCCATATATTATTTGGTTGCATTTTTTTTATTTGTAACTATTTCAGAAAAAAAATGTAAAACACTTCCCCATTTGTGAGAATGAAACGCATTTTCATTTAAAAGGATGAAATTTCAACCTTTAAGATTTTAGTAATATTACTTGAAATATAGTTCTAAAAAGAAAATATATATATATATTTATCGTCAAGAATAACATTTTATTTTTTATTTTTTACCTTACAATTTTCTCATAATAAAATATTTGTTGTCATTAAAATATTAAAATAAATTATCAGAAGGAAGAAATAAATAAAAAAATGGTTCTTTTCTAACTTATTCATGTACCTGTCTTTGTTAGGATAAGGACTCGATTCTACAATCTTAATAATGATTATGATATTTTTCATTTTGCACTAAGTTGCTATATAAAACTTAAATTTGTTTCATACTTACGGGATCTTTCTTGATGTAAGACTTTTGATTGCATCTCTAGTACAACTTTATTAACGAAAAAAAATCAACATTTTGAAGGATAATAAAGTTATTATTTTACAGAAAAAACTTATTTATTTTTACATTACACTTGGGAGTGAAAATCTTGACGTATAGATTTTTTTTAATCATGAGAATAAATACTCTTCCTCTTCGAGTGTTGCGGGTCTTTGACGCTGCATGAGTGGTAGATGTTTATCTTACGAATCGTCCCTTGAAATGTAAATGGTTTATTCAAGAAAGTTGTTGAAATCAAATTACAACCAACAATAACATGACGTTTGGAAAATATATTTCGTATTATTATTATTTTGTTTGAAAGGAAAGAACAAAAACAAACTAAAAGAAAGAATCTAAAGCACTAAAACAAGTAAAGATTGTCTTTTTATTAAATAAGATATGTAACTTTAGTGTAATATAGGTCAACAAAATTAAATTTGTATCTCACAATTATAATGTTATATTCTAGAAAATGATAGCACTACTGTAGTAATACCTTATTTAGTAGCTAGATATAATTATATAATTTTTGTTAGTCGATATTAAAATTTTCCAATACTAAAATTATATGACATGTTATTGAATGGGTTAGTAGAAATTGAGAGGGAGAAATATTAAGCCACCTAAAAAGAGGAAATTTTATGTTTCATTCTTCAAATGTTCGAGAAAATGGTAGAAATTTCAACTTTTTCCTCAATGATATGATGCAGTTCTTTGTCTAAATTTCTACGAACTCACTAAAACTCACTAAAACTCACGCAAGTCTATCATTAAATAATTTTAACGTTTACTAATAGAAAAAATATGATTGAAAATGTTAAAATGTAAAAGATAATATTGAAAATTTTTATACAACAAAGACTAAAATTATTAGATATTCAATATATGAATTAAATTTACTCAACCCATCAGCTGAAGCTTTTGGATTGGGTGGTGGTCTATTCATCCTTAACATGCATTGTCGTTTTCTCCCCATTTATTATTCATTTCAAAATTAAATTTATCCAACCCAACAGCTTACCTCTTTGAGTTGTGKGGTGGTTTATTCATCTTTAACAAACATTTCAAAAAAGAAACCTCGGAGCATTATGATTAAAACATATGATTGACCTTTTCAAAACTCAACCATTGTGCTAGCCATTTAGAATGGTCTCTCATTTAATTTTTGTACATCGTTTTTTTAAAAATAAATCTCTAAAATTTTTAACTTTGTATCTATTTAATTGAGATGTAGATAAAATTATGAGAAACTTTTAAATAGATTAGTCAAGAGTAGTATAGAACAAAAATGAAAGAAAGATTCTATTTTTATGGGAAGACTTTGGAGGTGGGGATCACATCTCACACATTAATATTTATTTTCTAGTCTATGATGTATGGCTATGGCTTTTATATGTTCTTAGAAAATTCCTTTTTGGTTGCTTATAAAGTATGATTGGGTTCATAGCTTTTGAAAATAGAATTAAAAAAGAAACGCTATTATTTTGGTTTTAAATAATTAATTGTCCATGTCAATTCTTAAAAATATTTCTTAAGTAGAATAACCAATATTCTTCCAAAAGCTTTAATTTCTAGAAAGTTCTAGGCAATCCCACGAAAGCATTTGAAGTATAAAAAAAACGGTTTTATTATTTGAATAAATTTATGTTACACATACTGAAAAAGTTGTCAAATCGAACATAAAGACACCTATCTCTCATCAAGAAGTCCTCAACGACCACGTGTTGTACTAAAAAAATATCGAAAAGGTCAAAAGTGTATTTTGCAGTTTTTTTTTTCCCAAATTTTACGAACATGAGGAGCTAAATGTTGAAGGGATTCTATAGAGAGCCATTTGGGTTGGGTCATTGTGGAAAATCTCATCGGCCCATCACTTTATTATTTCCAGTCAATGTCCCAATTTATTGTCAAAATCAATGTCAACTAAAAAGGTACACTTCAAAAAAGAGTAATTAATTAATAACTATATGGTAAAATTTTAAGTTACTTTCACAAACAATATATATTTTTTTTAGTATATCATGTCAGGCGGGATCGAACTCACAACTTTTTAGTTTGAAATATATATCAATTATTACTGAGTTATGTTCGCTTTAACTTTACTGACCATGTTTAATTGATCTAAAAATTGTAAATGGTATCTATTAAGTTTCTAAGATTATGTTGGGTAAAATAACGATTTTTTTTTTAAAAATATTGAAAATATGGGATTTTCTTGACGTTTGGTGAGCAATTTTAGAAAATAAATTGCATACAATCTAGAAGTATCGGCTTATTTTTAAAAAGATCTCAAACACATTTTCGACATTTTAGAAACTGAATTGATAATTCATTGGTTTTTATTTTRTCTATACTATATTAAAAAAGAACAATCCTAAAAATATATATATATTTTTTACTAATACGACTCTCTCTCAATTTCTAAATTACTACGCATTAGACTGGATTATTTTTGTACAATTTTACTACTTTCATAATTTTTAGAACTTTTAGTTAATATGTAAAACTATTTAATTATATGAAATATATTTATATATATTAATGAAATTTTAACATCCACATAATTTTCAAATATTTTCAGATTTTAAGTTTTGAAACTTAAAAATGCATTTAATTACATTAAAAATATAAAATTTTTAATAAATATAATATTTCATGTCATCAATTTATTTCATTTTCTATTTAAAAAAAATAATATACGTAAAACATCATTATAAATTAATTCATAATACAAATTATGAATGAAGAGAAAAATAATAATATAATCATTGTTTTCAAATTTAATTTTTAAATGTGCTATCAAATATATATTCGAAAATACTGAAAATATTTTAATTGAATTCCTTGTATTCAATTTCTGTTTTTAGATAATTAACCAACGCACCCTAAGTTTTTAGTATTGTGTTTAATAAATCCTTAAACTTAGAAAAATACATAAATAAATAAAAATAAAAATAAATTTTTGACATGTCTCATCAACTTCTAATTTGGTATTTGATAAATCATTCAATCTTCAATTTTGTGTCTAATGGATCTCTAATTTATGTGGCACTAAGCTCAAGAACCTATTAAAYTCAAAATTTAAAGTTTAAGAATTTATTAGACAATTTTTTAAAAGTTATATAGGATCTATTAGATATTAGATACAACATTTAAAGGTCTAACTATTTTTTTTATATGTCAATTATCGTTGAGTTATGCTCGTTTTGGTCATTTGATATTAATTTATTAATTTAGATATAAGTTTTAACATTAAACTTATAATTTAACTTTAATTTATTAATTTAGACGAATATTARAAATTTTTTCTTTTGARTTTGATGAAATATAAGATTTTAAACATGTATTAAATATTTGTCAAATATTGATATTTCTTATTGATATTTTCATATATCAAAGATATGACAAAAWATGAAAAAGGCTAATAATGAAAAACGCTAACAAAATATTACTAATGAGAACAAAAATACTAACATCATATGGGTTTTTAACTTACATATTGTGAAATTATTATTTATAAATTTAAATAATTTCTACGAATTCTCTAATTATCTTGAATTTTTATGAATATCCATGCACGTTGATATTGACATTTTATCAATATTTTCATTGACATTTTCATACCATTGAAGTCATTTACATTAACATTTAAAGTCCTTTTTTTAAATGATATATTATGGTAATTTAAAAAAAAAAAAGCCCATTTGAGTTTTTTTTCGGTACAAAGAAGAAAATAAGAGGTTTTTGGTTCGCACGTT